TTACTCCCGTGAATAAATCTGTTGCACCCTTTTATAGCTGCTCTTCAAGGACACAGATACTTAAACTAAGAAATGGAAACAACTTCAAATCTTGCCTTATTTCCAACTAGATAAAAATATCAGCCACTTCAGATGTAAAAAAGATGTAAAGACAGGCATTAATACTAAATGTGAAAATTGTAGTAGTTCTGTGATCTTTTGTTTGAGAATTCTAAAGGGTTTTATGACTATCTTTAATTGTCTTGATTTCTCTAAGTGAAAACTCCGATTTGGAGATGATTGATGGAGATCAGACTGACATTTACGTGGGCCATCCAGAACACAGCACTTTTGTTAGTTCACCCTATAAACCATAGGTAAGATTCTGAATGCAGAAGTACTAATTATTTTTCAGTGCAACTGTATTTTTAGATTACAGTGGTTTTGCCGATATTGAAAGGAGCCCTTGAAGTCCTATGAAGCACCTCTGTGGCCACAAAGCCAGCTCCACCACACGTGTCTGTGCAGGCTGTGGACCACACGCGCCCGTGCGGGCTGTGGACCACAGGTGTCTGTGCAGGCTGTGGACCACACACAGGCCTTTGCCTGAGAGCTCAGGGATGCACTCAGGTTAGTTTACGAGACTGTAGGAAGGTGTTGGGTTTCCGTAGGTCACTAGATATTAATAACTAATCCAAAAGGGTCTTATCTTAGACTTTGACTGTAATATTGACTTAAAATTCTCTCTGAAGGTGATTACACCATCGTATATTCAGCATATCTAGGTTAGAGAAAGCCAGTAACAAGATTATCTATCTAACTACCTTGCTAACTCTCTATGTATCTGCACATATGTCTAAATACTTACATATCTCAGGGTATATATATATATCGAACGTATAGTAACTATATATAAAAAGGATCTATAACTATATATATATTGTATCCATTCTACCACATCCTGGTCTAAATTAATATCCATGAGTAGTTTAAAGAGTCCAGGACATTCCTGAACATGGTGGAAGGCTTTGTGGTACTTGGAAATGTGAACTGACACTTTAGCCACAGTTGCCCTCTATCCTGGGAAATCTTGATTCGGAGTCTGGGAAGTTTTTTCATTTCCTATGGGTTCCATACATGGAAATTAAACAAATCAAAAGCACATGACTGTTAATGGTAAGACATTTGCTGTTTTGTATCTCTTGTAAAAATAGTTATTTATATTGTATTTCAGGTGAAATATTTGTATCTGAATTAAATTTACACCATTTGTCAGTCTGGCTTATTTTGTCATTTAAAGTCTCCAGACACAGGCTTATTTGGTACTTAGGGAAAGTGAAAAACAATAAAGAAAAATAATCTTAAGAAAGCCAGTGAAAAATTGCTCTTAAAGTCATTTAGTCTTGTACCAAAACCAAAACCCAGAAAAGCAGCATTATTTATTCTTTATGTTATGCCATTTACTTTTTCAAGAGTAGGATATCAACTAGCAAAAGTCTATTCCCAACAGAAAAAAAAACAGACTAATAATCAACTTAAAATATTTATTTTGAAAAATTGCAACTATTTTCCTTAATGATTCTTGAAATGGCAACATTTTCAATGATAATTATAATTTTTCTTCTTTATTATTTTGAAAGGAAGTAACATTTTACAGAAAGTGCACCTTCATATACAGTTGTAAAAATGCAGGCTCACATTTACGTATATTATATGATATTTTGTCCATAAACCTTTCACCAAAGTTTCTTTTTAATTTTTCTTAAAAAGTTTTTATATAGTCAGAGAGTAATGCAACCATCACCACACCATGCTAAGGACATTTATATCACTTCAAAAAGAAATTCTATACCCATTAGGCGTCATTTTTTAATTTTACCACGAATCCTGCAGCCCTAAGTGACTACTAATCTACTTTCTGTATGTATAATTTTTTGTATCCTGGACATTTTATACAAATAGAACTTGCAGAATGTAGTCTTTGTGACTGCTTCTTTCATTTACCATCATGTTTTCAAGATTAATGCATTTTGTAGCATGTCAGTACTTTAATTGCTAAATAATATTCCATTGTATAGATATACTGCACTTTTATGTACATGCATCAATTGATGGGATTTTCAGTTGTTTGTACTTTTTGACAATTATGAATAATATTGCTTTGAACATTAATATACAAGTTTTTGTGTGATTACACACTTCCATTTTTCTTTGGTATGTACCTAGGATTGGAAATAAATGGTAATAAGGTAACTTCGTTTAAACTTTTTTAGTAACTGCTGGGATGTTTTCTAAAGAAGCTGCACTAGTTTACATTCCCACTAGCAGGGTGAGAGTTTCCACGTCTCCATGCCCTTTGAACACCAATCATTACCTATGTTTTTTTAAAAATATATTATATTGATTATGCCATTACAGTTGTCCTATTCCTCCCCTTATTCCCCTCCACCCTGCCCACCCCTCACCCTCCATCCCCCCCTTTAGTTCATGCCCATGTGTCACAAGTTCTTTAGATTCTCTATTTCCCACACTGCTCTTGCCCTCCCCCTGTCTATTTTCTACCTACTGTCTATGCTTATTCTCTATATGTTCTCCCCCCTTCTCCTTCTCTCACTCCCCTGTTGCTAACCCTCCATGTGATCTCCATTTCTATGGTTGCACTCCTGATCTAGCTGTCCTCTTAGTTTGCTTTTGTTTTAGGTGTGGTTCATAATAACTGTGAGTTTGCTGTCCTTTGACTGTTCACATTTTTTATCTTCTTTTTCTTAGATAAGCCCCTTTAACATTTCATATAATTAGAGCTCGGTGATAATGAACTCCTTGAACTTGACCTATGTTTTTTATTATGTACATACTGGAAGTCGTACAGTGGTAGCTCATGGTTTTAATATGGTTTCTCTGGTGGTTAAGGATGTCGAGCATTTTTTTCATGTGTTTATTGGTTATTTACATAACTTCTGATTTCTTACCATAATGTTTTGTAGGTTTCAAGACATCAGTTTTGCAGTTATTTTGTGACATTTATTCTTATTTTATTTTTGAGGCTATCATATTGTAAATACAGTTTTTTTTAAATTTTATTTTCAGATTGTTTATTGGTAGTACATAGAAATATAGTCAATTCTTGCCTGGGCTGGTGTAGCTCAGTGGATTGAGCGCGGGCCTGCGAACCAAAGGATTGCTGTTGGATTCCCAGTCAGGGCACATGCCTGGGTTGCAGGCCAGTTCACAGCAGGGGACGCATGAGAGGCAACCATACATTGATATTTCTCTCTCTCTCTCTTTTTCCCTTCTCTTCTAAAGATAAATTTTAAAAAATCTTAAAGAAATATAGTCAATTCTTATATATTGACCTTGTATTATGCAAGTTTTTGGACTCCTTTATTAATTCTAGGGTTTTTTAGTAGATTCTTCAGGATTTTCTATATATAAGATCATGTCATCTACAAAAAAAGTTTCATTTATTTATTTATTTATTTATAATATATATTCCTTTCATTTTATTTTATTTTTCCTAGTTGACCTGGCTAGAACTGTCCAAGCCTGGCTAGACCTGGCTTGACCTGAATAAAAATGGCAAAGCAGATGTCCTTTTGTCTTTCTGATTCTACGGGGAAAGCAATGAGTCTTTCACCATCGGGTATTGTTTCAATATATTGTTTTTATCCCATAGATGTCATATCAGGTTGGGTAAGTTGTTTTATTCCTACTTGATTGAATATTTTATTGTCATGGTCTGTTGGTTTTTTTGTCACATGCTTTTTCTGCATATATTGAAATGACCATGTGTTTTATATCCTTTATTCAATCTTCATTTTTTGCAAGGCTTCTTGCATTTTTTAATGTTTTCTTTATTCTAGTGATGAGATGTATTATGTTAATTGAATTTTGGATATTAATTTAACCTTCTATTCCTAGGACAAAAACAATTTTTCATTATGTATAATCCTTTTTATATGTTGTTGGGTTTAATTTGCCTGCATTTTGTTGAGAATTTTTGAGTTTCTATCAATAAAATATATTAATCTTAGAGTTTTCTTGTGATGGCTTTGCCTGGCTTTAGCATCAAGATAAAACTGGCTTCATAGAGTGAGTTAGGAAGTACTCCCTCCTCTTCTGTTTTTGCGAAACACGGCAATAATTTTTCTTTAAATGTTTGGATTATTCATCAGCTAAGTGATCTTAGCCTGAGCTTGTATTTGTGAAGTTTTTAAATTAATAAGTAAAACTTGGGTTGTTGCAGGTCCATTTAGATTTTTTGTTTGTAAACTTAGTTCTACAAGTTTACATTGGTCTGGGAATTTGTCCATTTCTTCTAGCTTATTTAATTTTTTGGCATAGACTTCTCCAGTGCAATCTCTTCATACACATTTTATTTTTTAAAATTTGTGTAGTTCCCACTCTTATTCTTGACCTTATTAATTTGAAATTTTTCACATTTTATTTGATCAGTCTAGCTAAAGCGTTGGGATTTTTTTGTTTTATTTTGATTTATTAGGGTGACATTAGTCAATAAAATCATGTGGGTTTCAAGTATACATTTCTATGATACACACATGATTTGTGCATTTCATTATGTGCCGACCACCCAAAGCCAAATCATCATCTGCCACCATATATTTTGCCCCTTTTACCCTTTACCACCCTCCCACCCCTTTCCCTCTGGTAACCACCACACTGTTGTTTGTGTCCATGAGTTGCAGTTTTATATCCCACATGTGAGTGAAGCCATATGGTGATTGATTTTTTCTGACTGACTTATTTTGCTTAGTGTAATTTTCTCAAGGTCCATCCATATTGTTGCAATGGCAGTATTTTACCTTTTCTTATTAAGTAGTATTCTACTACATAATAAGATAGTAGTAGTATTCTACTACATATATGTGTGTATGTGTGTGCATGCATGTGTGTATATATGTGTATGTATATATGTGTGTGCACACACACATATATTTTTGTTTTTTTTCTTTTTTCTTTTTCTTTCATTTTTTTCTATTTCTTTTCTTTTTTTTTTCTTCTAGAGATGTTCCCTGCATGGTTTGTTTCCTCAGTTATTGTCCAGAGGACCCTGAGGAGCTGTAGAAATGTTCAGGAGCAGACTCGAGGCCCTGCTTTCTCTCCAACGTTGTGTATAGGGACTGTACATCACAGGGCAGAGCCCTGTGCTCTTCTATGCCACCTGGACAGAGCCCGCGGAGAGTGACTTCCCGGGTATCCACGTTGGTCACACACATATATTCTTTATCCGGTCCTCTATGACAGGACACTTTGGTTGTCTCCATGTCTTGGCCGCCATGAATAATGCTGCAATGAACATAGGGTACATATATCTTTGTGAATAAATCTTTTTGAGTTTTTCAGAAAAAGACCCAGAAGATGGATTTCTGGGGCATATGGTAGCTCTATTTTTAATTTTTTAAGAAACTTCCATTTTGCTTTGCATAGTGGCTGTGCCAGTTTACATTCCTACCAACAGGGAATGAGGGTTCCTTTTACTCTGTAACCTCTCCACACTTATTATTACCTGTTTTGTTGATAGTAGCCATTCTAACAGGTGTGAGGTGGTATCTCATTGTAGTTTTGATTTGTATTTCCCTAATAGCTAGTGAAATTGAATTATCTTTTCATATATATCGAAGGTCATTTATATGTGTTCTTGCGGTTGGTGTCTGTTCAGGTCCTCTGCCCACTTTGTAACTGGGTTGTTTGTTTGGTGTTCAGTTGTATGAGTACTTTATGTACTTAGGATATCAACCTCTTGCAGAGCTGTTTACAAATATCTCTATTCAGTAGGTTGCCTTTTTGTTTCATTGTCAGTTTCCTCTGCTGTGCTGAAGCTTTTTAGTTTGATATAGTCCCATTCATTTATTTTTGCCATTATGGTCAAATTCATAACATGTTCTCTACAATCAAGGTTCATAAGTGTAGTACCTATGTTTTATTTTACATAAGTTATTGTTTCAGATCTTATATTTAGGTGTTTGATTCATTCTGAATTAACTTTTGTATTTAGGGACAAACTGTAATCTAGCTTCATTCTTTTGCATATGGCTTTTCAATTCCTTTAGCACCATTTATTGAAGAGCCCTTTTTTCTTTCATTGTGTGTTTTTGGATCTTTTGTCAAAAATTATTTGCCCATATACATGTGGTCTGCACTCTCAATTCTGTTTCATTGGTGTGTGTGTGTGCGTGTGTATGTGTGTGTGTGTGTTTCTGCCAATACCATGCTCTTTTGATTTTTGTAGCTCTGTAGTATAATTTGAAGTCAGGTAGTATGATGCCTCAAGCTTAGTTCTTTTTTTTTTTCAGGATTGCTTTGGCTAATCAGGCTCTTTTGTGGTTCCATACAAATCTGATGATTTTTTCTGGTCTATTTCTTTGGTCATTGGGATTTAGATGGGGATTACATTAAATCTGTATATTGCTTTAGGTACTACAGCTATTTTAACCATGTTGATTCTTCCAGTCTATGAACATGGAATATCTTCCCATTTCATTCTGTCTTTTTCAATCTCTTTTAATAATGCTTTGTAGTTTTCAGCTTCTGAATGTCTGGAAAAGTCTTTACTTTTTCATATCTAAAGGATAATTTTGGAGGATATATTATTTTTGGCTGGTAATTTACCTCTTTCAGTAATTTAAGTATCTGGTTCCACTTTCTTCTAGTTTGTACAGTTTATGCTGAGAGGTCCAATGATAACCTAATGGTCTTTTTTTTATAGGTTACTTTTTTTGTTTCCCTGACTGCCTTGAGAATCATTTCTGTCATTAATTTTTGATAGTTTTAATACAGTGTTCCCTGGATTCAACTAACTAGGTGTTCTGTTGCTTCTTGGATTCAAGGATCTAGCTCTTTCCATCAGTTTGGGAAGTTCCCATCAACTATTTGTTTTCAACAGTCTTCATTCCCTTCTCCCTCTCTTCTCCGTGTGGTATGCCTGTTATTCTCACATTGCTTTTTCTGATGTAGTCAGATAGTTGTTCTAGAGGTTTTTTAATGCTTAAGTTTCTCTCTTTTCCTCTGCATAATTTCTATATTTTTATCTTTGATAGCACTGTTTTTTCCTCCATCTATTCACTTCTAATTCCTATGCTTGCCAGTCCATTCTTGATCTATTTTACTGAGTTTTTCATCTCCAGAATTTCTGTTTGGTTCTTTTTAAAACTTTCAATGTCTTTGGTAAAGTATTTGTTTTGTTTGTTGATTTGTTTTTCTGAGCTCATTAAACTGCTCTCTGTATTTTCTTGCTTCTTATTGAGTTTTTATCAGAATTGCAATCTTGAATTCTCTATTATTTATTATCACATATTTCTATGTCTTAAAGTTTGTTTTCTGGAGATTTAAATTTTCTTTCTGGGCTGCTTCACTGCTTTGGTTATTCACAGTATTTGATAGATTCCTTCTCTGTCTAGGCATCTCTGTGTGAGTGGCACCTCCCTAGCACATTAATATAGAGGGGTCTTTCTATTATTTTCTAGTAGGTGGTGATGAATCACAAGTTTTTAAGTTCTCTTGCATTTCTCTGGCTTTTCAGATCTCTATGCAGTTGTGTTCCTGGGTGGGTGGTTTCCTCCCCTCTGATCTGGTCAACCTGATCCCAGGGGACCAACCATGCAGGGGAATGTAGTGAGTGATAGAGATCCAGATCCATTAAATCCCAGTGTTATTCCCTGTAGCCAGATGCCAACATCAGTGTAATAATGATCAATGAGTGTGGAGTGGGCTGGGGGGAACTGGCTGGCTTCTTTGTTGTTTTGCCCTCCCAATAATGGTGACCTCAGATCTCCTTGGGGTATTCCTCATTTCCCTGACCTCATGACCAGTCACAGAGTGCACCCTTTGTGGAGGGAAAAAATGATTCTATAGTACCAGTTCTCAAATTTGTAGATAATGTGCTCCTCAATCTAACACCAAGGGCAAAAGGAGGTGAGTTCTGGGAGGTTACAGGGTGGCTAGGCTCCATGGTTTTGCATCTCTGTCAGATGCCCACTGCCCAACAACTGCAGCACCACCTCTGCGCTCTGTCCTTGCCCAGGTCCCTGGGTTCAGCTCCAGCTTGTACAACCACTCTTGCAGGAATGCCCATTGAATCTCTGTTCCTCCCAGCTGAAGGGAGTGTCAACCACAGTCTGACTTCTCTCCTCACCAAGCTGAGCAACGCTGTGAGCTTCTGGATGTAGAATTGTGTCCCTGACTTGTCTCAGCTTTTCTCCCTTTTCTCCTCCCCAGCTCACTTCCACTTGCCCACCTTTAGATGTTTAATACACATTTTTTAAAGGCATGTTTGTACATCCAGTAGGGAAGGTTTATGGGGAAGTTGTTCAATTTGCTGAAACTGCAAGTGGAGAGACCAAGATAATTTCTCATTCCTCCATCCTCTAAAAATAGACTTTAAACTCTCTGATTAATATTTTAAATTGTATGTTTCTCTCTTGAATCTTATCACTTTTGCTTCATGTATTGTACTTGGGACTTCGTTGTTGGGTTTTCTATACTTATAATTGTAAGATTTTCCTGATAGATGGGCCTCTTTGTTTTTTATTATTACTGTTATTAATTCCAGTAACATTTTCTATTTTAAAGTCTATTTTGCCTGCTTTGAGTATAGCTACTACATTTTTCTTATGGTTGCTATTTATATGACAGCCTTTTCCATGCATTACTTTAAAACTCTACGTATCTTTGAATCTAATGTATATGTCTCCTGTAAACAACAGTGTCTCCTGTAAACAGATCATGACTTTTTATTCAATTTCACAGTCTTTGACTTTTGCTTAAATTGTTTAGCCCTTAATATGTATCATTATTTTTGTTATAATAGGATTGAAATCTGTCATTTTATCATTTGTTTTATATATGTCTCATGTCATTTTTATTTTCTTATTCCCCTTTTACTTCTTTTTGAAAAAGTGAGTATTTTTAGTATAACATTTAAATTATTTTAATGATTTTTACTATAATTTAAAAAGTCATTGCACAACAGCTTATCATAGATATTAACTTACAAAAAATCAATTTTACATTTACACTAACTTAATTCTAGTGAGACACAGAAATGCTCTTCCTGCATAGTTCTATTCCTCCTGCCCCTTGTTTTGCTGTTAGTTACATATTATACATCTATGTATTTTTACCTAATACATTGTTTTAATTACTACTTTGTATAATTTCATGTCTACTAAGAAAGTTGAGAAAATTAAGGAAAGCAAGTATGTATTTATAGTTTGTTGCATTATACCTCTTATTTACCATGTTGGGTTCTTCATTGTTCCTGTGGATTCACATTGCCATCTGCTGTCACTTACTCCGGCACAGCTCTCTTTCCATCTCCAGGCTCTGTTGTTATTGTAAAATTCTTTACATTTTCATGTGTTATAGCTCCAACAATGCAATTATAAACACATTGTTTTATATAGTTATTTTAAAAATAAATTAAGAGAATAAATATTCATTTATATTGACTTTTATAATTACATAATTACCTTGACTAGTGCTCTGTTTTTTAATATGGATTTAAATTATTGTCAGTGTCACTGGCTTTCAGTTTTGACATCTCACTTTATTACTTTAAGTTTTTTTTTGCTTTGTAGATGTCTTTTCCTTTATTTTGAAGATAGTTTTGTTGGCTATAAGATTCTTAGCTGACAGTTTTTCTTCTTTTAGTACTTTGCATGTGTTATCCATCGTCTTATGACTTGCACTGTTCCTGATTAAAAATTATCAGTTAATCATATTTGGTTTTCTTTATATGTGACAAGTGATTTTTCTCTTGTCTTATCAAAATTTTGTCTTGGTTTTTGGCCTTCAGCATGTTTTCTTTGATGTGACTAGGTGAGGTTCTTTCTATGTATCTATTGCTATAGTATAGGCATCTGACAGTTATCTTTTTTGATTGTAAAGATTCTGCCATTAAAGTTTTGATCTCTGAGGCATCCATTTCATTTAATTTTTTAAAGACATACATCTCAAACAGATGCCAATTCCACGACCAGGTTAAGACCCAGACTGCTCCACTCATACACAGTTCCCATTTTTAGAAAGCCTTGGGTGACCTAGATGAATCGCTGCTTGAGTGACCCTGTGTTTTGCTTTCTACACTTTAATTCCTGCTCTTACACTTTAAATTCACCCATAAGGAGCAAATCCACAAAGCCCTAGGCACTCCACTCTTGACTCCAATAAAGGCAGAAGCCTAATTCCACACACATTCTCTACTCATGC